AAATTTGGTTGCACGACTTCCCTCTATCATATACACCCAGTGACACCGATGCCAGCTGACTGTGGTACACACCAATAACAACGATGCAGCGAGCCGCCTTCTACCTCCACAATACTGTTGTCCGGTAACTATTTCCCACCTACCTACTAAACTCACCCACCAGGTCATTACATTGGCCCAATTTACCATAATTATAATGTCTACATTTACTTTGTTTACAGAATGACGAATAAAGCAAGCGATGTTCCGGTTTTTGTCAGCACCGAATGGCTCTCAGAGAAAATGAAGGATGGCGGTGGCGGCGTCTGTATCGTCGATGTGTCCTGGCACATGCCCCAAGCAAACAGAGACCCAGAGGCTGAGTACAAAGATAAGCACATCTTGGGGGCGCACTTCCTCAATCTCTCAGACTGCAAAGATAAATCATCAAATTTGGAGATGATGCTCCCATCTCCAGACGATTTCGCAAAATGCGTCGGTGCATTGGGAATTGGTAATGACAGTCACGTCGTTGTCTACGATAACAATGCCAAACTTGGTATGTTCTCCGCTCCGAGGGCGTGGTACATGTTTCGTGTTTTCGGACATGATAAGATATCGATCCTGAACGGAGGATTTCCGAAGTGGGTAGCCGAGGACCGCCCGACGACATCCGAAGTGCCCGATGTTGATGCTGTTACGTACAGTCCATGTTTCAGAGCAAACTTGGTTAAAGACCGTGCAGATGTCGAAAGTAATATGTCCGAGAATAGGTATACGTTGCTTGATGCACGCCCGCCTGGCAGATTCAATGGAGAAGACCCAGAGCCCGTACCAAGTGAGCATTACTTTTTATTTTAAAAAAATGAACTCAATTTCCTTCTGTATTCTGCCTGTATTGTATATTGAAATAATTTTGTTCAATATTTCATCTTGATAAAATCATTAGAGATACATTTACCAATAAAATAAAACCCGTGTTTGGACACCAAATATAGCCATATTAGTCCGGGGAAATGACAAATCTGTAATGCGCATGCGTCCCAGATTCACCTCCACGTATAGGTAACCGAAAATTAGTGTTTTTGTTATTTGATAGAACGAATATTGTTAAGTTTTCAGTTAAATTATTAACATTATTTATGATGATTCATTTTATAATGTTTTTATTACAAAAAATAATAATCTATAACATTCTCAAAAATCCACAACGTTTTTATAATCTGTACTGTTAGAAAGAACGTAGTCCATAATGACGACTACGATGACGTTTTTAGGCGCAAAACCTGTAATTAAAACGTTTGTTTTTCTTTTCCAGATATCAAATCAGGGCACGTTAAAGGCAGTGTTAATATTCCTTTCCCCAAGACGCTAGACGGCGACAGTAAACTATTCAAGGAACCCAACCAACTTAAAGACATTTTCAGCGATGCGGGCATAGATTTGAGTCAGCCATTAACGGTGCTGTGTGGGACTGGCTTGACGGCATCCTTCTTGGTACTGGCGGCCTTCTCGTGTGGAAAGCTCGATGTGCCAATTTACGACGGCGCCTGGATGGAATGGTTTCTCAAATCCGACCCTGATACCATGGAAGGTGTCCCGGAGTAATCGACGAACATTCTCACAATACATCGTTCCCGTATTTAGCCTGGAATACACGTCAGGGTATATATCCCGATCAGGATACAAGTACCCCAGGCCGCCTGCCAGGTAGGATAATGCTTTGTCTAGCATTATCCTACCGGACGGGCGGAACATTACAGCCTCCAGCGCCTGGGGTGGGATACAAGTGTCCCTCGAGCAAAATAAACATATCTCGATCTCGGTTCTGACCGCTATCAGTCGCATCCTGTAGTATTGACGCTCCTTTATGTCGTAAGTGGGTGTCAGGAATGCCGATATTATTGTGACTGCAATCAACATACTAGTAGTTGGTTTATTTGGACGGCTATGCTTACATCAATCCCCGGCACCTATCTACGTGATGTTGACGTCATAGACATGTCTTGTTGCTAGAGGGCGCGACTGTTGAGGTTTATTAGGATCGAACATTATGTTGAACACCGATCAATTAAAAACATTTGTTGGCGGGATTTACATCATAGGGACTAGGGAAACAGACTTTTATTTGTACCGGTTTATACTTTTATATTGGATCGCATCTCACTAAACAGAATGAAATGTGTAAGCACTGTGTTGTGGTTCTGCACCGTGATAATATTGTGGATCGCAGATCACGGCGAGGGCGAGTGATATGATCATGCTCATGAATGCCTTTGATGGACAACACGTTTGTTATTTAGATGTAGCACAATCGCTTTCGTCGTAAACTGCATGGTCGATTTTATTTATAATAGTCAAGTTTTTGCATAGTAATTAAATTACATATCGTTATACCTCAAGCGGCCACTCTTTGACTCTGTGTAGTAATGTTATTCCTCAGCTCCTGAGAGCGAGGTTATTTGTAGTTATGTTGGCGATCGTCGCTGTGTCTGTGGAAGTACTATGAGAGATTGCATGATGGGAGTGAAAAGTCTTTTGATCAGTAAAATAATTTTAGAAAAGTGAAAACTAGAGTGATTGTGAAATAAATGTTGGTATTGAATATTAAATCACAGGGAGCCCAGGAACTATGATCAACTGTACGCACTTCCTATGAGCGGGGGGGGGGGTATCGGCTGGTATCTAGTGTAAGAAATAGACAAGGGATGAAGGCTCCAGCCAGCTCACATTTTTTAAACTCGGAAAAACAGACGAACAGAATTAAAAATAAAATCTATAAAACATACCAGGTTGAAGAATATTAGTTGCTCTTTCAAATTTCGCCAAAGCCTTACCTATATTTTACCTATATCTGCAGAATAAATCAAGAAAACTACACAAATTGACCCCAATTACGAATAATTAACGGTTTGCCCGAACGCACGACACAGTTGGAGGTGAAGAACCAATCACAAGACTGGTTACGAACCAGTTGAGCAAGGCTAACTGAGTCGTGACCTCGATGTGGTTCGTAACCAGTCTTATGATTGGTTGTTGACAAATGCTGAACAGGCCACGCCCCCAACTGTCCCGTGCGTTCGTGCAAACCGTGAAATTGCACTAAAATGACCAATTGAAGATGTACATATAAATTATCTTCGTTTTCTCTTGGGAACATCACAAACACCACAACAATGGGCTATCACGGTGAACTTGGACGTTTTATCGGAAAACAAATGATAGCATAGTGTAATCGTGTACATAACTCGTCAAATCCATTATTAAAACAAGCTTTCCAAAAAAACAAAGAAAGTAAATGGTACACTAATATAGACTCCATTTAGAATAAAATCAACCAGTCTAGCCTGGTCGAAACAATGAAATTCTAACAGCACATATTAAAACAAATTAATACAAATATACAAACATCATTTATATCAAAATATTGGAAAAGTGAATTACATAACGACAATCGATCACAAAAAAATTGTCGGAGATTCATAATATATAGTTTTTTGCATCCACATTTGACTTGTTTATTCTGTCATCAAGTACAACCGAAGCGTACTACTGTATCCCCCACACAATTTAATTAAATTCCGCCTCATAGACCATAACTTGAAAATTAAAACTGGCAGTCAGAAAGGAATACCCCATGATATATTATGCAACCTTTGTTACCAGAATCAAGTAGAAGATTGAAATGAGTAACACCTAATGATGTCATGCAAAAGTTATAGCCCCGATAGCAATGTATTATTTGAAATGGCAAAAAGCAAAATCCAGAATTTAAAAAAAAAAATGAAATAAGACAGCAACCCCAGTGACAATTTTTTTTCACAGTTAAGTTTTGCATTTCGTTTTCTATCTTTTTATAGTATAATAATTAAGTTTTAATATTTTTTCATCTGTAATGTATAAGCTTGTATTTTTTTTATTTTATTTTATTTATTTATTTTTTAACCTTTTATTCTTTCTTAAACATTTGCAACCATTGCCATCCATCCGGGAATGTGTAAATGTTAATACAATTATTATTATTTTATTAAGGACCCCACACATTAGTGATTAGCCTTGGCTAGTTGAAGAGGTTTTTAGAGGGGTGACTCGCTAGAAGTATTCGCCGTGACTCCGGACTCTTCATTCGGGTTTATACAACACTTACATGTTACTGTCAGAAAAGTTTAATGTATTGTTTGTATTTGCACAATGTGAAAAAAAGGGTTTATTGTCAAAATATATACGGGTGCTTGTATGAGCATTGAAACTATACAAAATTTAACTTATGTCACCAAACTGTACGTTTTGACGACTTGTGTGTGATTGTAAGATTATATTTCAGGTATACTCGAAGTGAATCTCAGCAGTTACACAGAGGTAACGCTACAATACAATACTGTCTTTTTGCTGAGGCAGTTATGGTTCACAACCATCACCAGTTCTCTTGTAGTACCTTATCTTGTATGCATGGTTCAACCATCATTGCGCCCTCTGTCGCTGGTACGAGCGGTTCGTTTGTTTGATATAGACCACTTTCCCGGAAGTCGAAGATGAGACGTTTCGTATGCGCACGCATGCGGTTTTGTGGTGTAACCCGGGCGTGTAACGTAAACTTGCACGCGTGAATTGTAAATCTAGGTGTACCAATCGACGTCACAAAAATAAAATTCCCTTCTATCGACTATCAGTAAACTTTCAGCTATGACAGAGCAGAAGTATTTTTGCACCCCAGTTTTTGCTAATTTTGCTACAACGGGAAAGTGGTCTATTAGTGCGCAATATAGTTTGGGTTAAGACAAAAATGACTCGCCATCACAGAACATATTCTTGAGAGTGTACATCGTTAAGTTTATGTCAGGTATACTATGATACTTCTTGATACTGACAGATGAGCAAAAACTATTTGGAGATGTTAACTTTTCATTGTTTAAAATAATTATTTATTATAAAATATAACATTTATGTATGTAAGTTGAAAGGATGTCTAACCTCTTACAATACAGTTTGATTGAAAACTTTTTATTGCAAACAAATAACATACAGACCGGGATGTTTTACAAAGCACAATGGAAAGAGTCCTTTATTTTTTCATCAAAAGTAGCGTCTTCAAATAATGCAAGAGAAAAAAAAAGGATATACAATATTTTCGAACTTCTCATGTGCATTTAAGACAATATACTACAAGAGTAACTCGATTAATTTGTTTTATAGATGTATTTGTACTTTATATTTTTTTACATTTAATTTTTACGTGTTTTTAGACTGTGTACATATTTAAACATTCAGTACCAATGACACCTTATGCACACTATACAAATAGATAAATACATAAATAAGTGCACATTAGTGGGTCGTGACAAAATCAGTGATGATCATTATGCAATGCAATGCGTACAACGTTCATCTGTCACAAATTCAATCTGTAAATTGCGTATGAATAAAAACAAAATATGAAATTTCTCCAAGCTGTATATTATGAGATTGTTACGAGGATACCTTAAAGTATGCACAAAGACAGTAAAGCGTGAGTCTCGCCAGAAAGTATTTACGCACCACACTACACGCAGTTACTACATACGATATCATTCAATAAAATAAACTCAATAACGGTTTGAATAAATATATTCTTATATGTAATATTAAACAATAATGAACGACCCGCCAACCCATAATGGGCGAAAGCTCACTTTGTGCGACATATATGTACGACTCGGAGGCTGTCGCATCAGACTCATGATCGGGGAACCGTGTTGACTGGGCAGCACTAGGTTTCCATACACACATTCCCAGGCCTGCGCCCTGGAGAGACCACGAAGACTGAGCGACTCACTGGGCGCAAACCCCGCAAACCCATCGTCTCCCGAGACGGAAAGATGCCTACTACTACTACTGTTCATAAAACAGTTTGAGGGCGCTCTATGATCCCTTCGTCGTCAGAACAGTACTGTGCATATACGTATTCATCTATTCTTACTTTTCTAATTATTGTCTGTTCATTTTCATGATCAGAAACAAACGCCCTCTATGTTTCATTTTTCTATTCAACAATATTATAGTTAACACATTTCTTCGCTATACTTTGTATTTGTAGTGTTTTGCGCCCCGAGTGTGGTGGTGGTTGCAGGGCACCACATTGTACATTCTGCGGGGAAGAGATTGGCCTCTTCGTCCAACTTGCACCGGTTCATTGCAAGTACCGTTCATTTTCTGTTGTTCATAAGACCCAATAATCGAACAAAATACAATTAATTAACTTTTGTATACAAACATTAATGGCACAAAAACGTATGTGAATCATGAGTAGGCATTCCACACGCATTTTCTACGACTGGTACGTGTCACGTGTACTACCACCTTAGCACGACGACTGCTGTCTTTTAACATCCCACCCTGCTTACATGGACTGTATATCGAGGGTTTATATCATATGGACAGACATCGTCACGGTCTGTCCATATAATACCCGATCAGCACAGCGCTATACGTAAGGATACCAACCAGGCAGCCGCCTAAAAGAGTTATTCAACACAGCAGATTTAATATTTTCAGCTATGTTAGCAAACGTTAGGCCATTTTCCAGCGTAAAACATAAATTTTTCAGCCATAAGCACTCTCATATCGGTCTTCGTAACCCCATGGAACTATATAGTTCCATGGTAACCCCAAAGTCCAGGTACAAGTCTGTGGCTCGTCCCAGACTGAGTATCCAAGCTCAAAAACCAGTGTGTTTATTGCCCTTTATAAAAGTATTATGGATAGACTCTTCAGTTGTTTCTCCTGGATCATTGTTTAAAAATGTTGGTAAGACTTTACTTAGAACTAAAATTATATTTTTTGTGTCAGTGTGGTTGCAAGTGCAAACATGGCGACCCTTGTGTTGCATTGCCCATGTTTATTTCGACTATTCGTTACCATATCATAACTAGCCTAAACAACAAATCATAAATACAGAGATTTCAGCCTCCTAACAGATGGGTGACATTTCTAACATTGAAAATTTGTTTACAATGTGATTAGAATTTGTAATTTTAAAGGTTTATTTTAAATATTGTTTATGGAAGAGCGCCCTCTAGGGAGCAAGAGTATAATTTCTTTGTTTGTTAAACTCGAGTATACAGTGAAGTAGGTGACCCAAAACCAGATTCAAAAAAACTTTAGTAGGATTATTTTCTTTTGAACCCTTCTCTCAAATCCTCTGGTGATTATCACGTTTTCTTTGATCAACAACTCACCCTGCAGAATCACGTTAAGATATAACCTAACTATTGAATCTATTTCCTGATTTAGTGCATCTACACAAGTACTGTGCGAGAGCGTGTAAACTGAGACTGTACATTTCTGAAATGAACATATAACTGATATAAACAAGGGATACTTCATGCGTGTCTGTACTTCCCCTTTCAAAAATTTGACACGGATTTTCCATATCTAACCACCAGCTCATTCAGGTTTGGTCAGGTCTCTCGATATCGATGGTGCACGAGTTTATCTCTCTTTAGACATGTGTACTAATGTTTTTTGACAGTTTATTAAAATCGTCCACGTATTTGCTGTATTTATAATGGCGATCAGCTTATTTCGGCAAATAGTGGAATAACAGATAATGTTTCAAATTACACATGTTGAAAAGACTCCTTAGAATGTTACAAATGACACATTGACAGGACTCCTTAGAATGTTACAAAAACACATTGACAGGACTCCCTGGAATGTTACACATAACACATGTTGACAGAACTCCCTAGAATGTTACAAATAACACGTTGACAGGAATTCCTAGAATGTTTCAAATAACACGTTATTCTGAAAGGACATTGTCTGAATCGCATGGTTTTTGACACTTGAGGTAAACATACTTCCCCACGAACCTGTGCAGGATTACACAAAGACTATGGTAAAATTCATAGATCTGATTGTAGGCACCTCTACATAATACACCCAGTTGTCAAAACTAGTTGGTCAAGCTATTTGGTCAAACTACATGTATTTAGCATGCATTTAATGTACATGCTCGACTCGTACATCCATTACTTTAATGTGTGGCATTAGGCCTCCGCCTTTAATATGGATCAGTCTGCGTAAAATATTGAAATCATTGTTTTGACTTGATGTCTTACCAGTTCACAGTTCTTCTCCAAAATACCTTCTTTTTTATGTTTTCAAACCTGTGATGGTTGAAAATCAATGTTATCGTAATATTACTGAAAACGCATCTTGCATTGTGCACACAAATATTACTGTGCATTTCACAGTGGCCGTGTTTCACAGCTGTGTAGTATAGTGAAACGAATTAATAGTTTTGATTGAACTAATTAGTTTGTTGGTCTTCCAGCACTCAATTAACCGATCATAAAAAGTCGGCTCACATTTTGACCGGAAGAAAATCTTCTACTGTAGACTTATCTATTTCATCTGTTATGCAGCTATGATAAGCATTGATTGGACAATGCATTGAAAAAAAAATATCTAGTATTTTCTAAGAGGAGACACTTAAATTTACGTACATTTGTATATGGAATCTGCCAAGGTTCATTTGTGAGCTGATGACTGAATAAAAGTACCTTTGCTTGCAAAGATGTAATGAATATAATAAATTGACATACAAATCTGAAAAAAAAAATAATTTATTCATAGTGTACTCTAACTTATATACATACAAGTTTTGTATTCATTCGAAATGAACTAATAGTGAATCCCTCAAAGCCCTTTTACTTCCAATAATTACCATCTTGTGTCCAACCATTTTAGAACAACATGAACATTTGATGTTGCAACAACATGCACAGAACACCATGGAAACCAACAACATGCACAGAACATTTGATGTTTTCTCTCAGACTGCATAAGGGGATATATATTCAACATTAGTAGTTGTTTCTGACAAGCACTTTAGTTATGGAAACTGTGATCTGTTGCAAATTCTGCAATAAATTTGTTACTTAGACAGCAGTAACTGTACAAGCCAGTGACAGTGTGAGGTAATTGACATTGTGTCTACAAGTCATAAATGAGAAATTTCCCAGAAGTAGGAGACCATTTCACAATTGCATTTTTTGTGCTCAACTTATAAATTAAGACAGTTGTTTTGTTGCAAAGCTATAGAATATGAAAACGAAACCAGTGATGATGAAGCTGTGACAACTCTTCATCACATCAATACTCTTTTAAAAATTTCATCCAAAAATATCTTATTTACGTGTAAGTCTCAAATAAAATCACTAATGTATCAGTTGTTGGAACTGTTTAATCAACTGTCCAGCAATGACCAGTCTTTGTATTTCGCTTGTTCCTTCATAAATCTCTGTTATCCTAGCATCTCTGTAATGGCGTTCAGCTGGCATCTCTGTCACATATCCCATACCACCTAGCACTTGAATAGCCTGTAATATACAAGACATAATTCAATGTTTGTATATACGCAATATGTTAATTGTTTGATACATGTGATTGGATTTTCAACCAAATTTATGTTTTGCGTCTATTAAATTCCTATTAAATATAATGGTCAAATATTTGTCTCAATAGAGAATTTCATAACATTATTATTATGGTTCACACCACTGAATGGTATACATCTCAAACAATATCAGTATATGCATGTACTGCATTTATAGCAGCGATACAAAAACTTCAGACTGGTTGAGAACAACTACTCAGTAAACTCCATAAGAATATTGACTGAAAGATTTTTTGGTACTGATATCAATAGAAGTGCAATAATTTTGCAGATTATTGATAATAAGCATTGGTGACCTTAACTGCAAATGCACAAGATTGAATGTCATGCCTAGTATAAAAGAGCATACGATTTCAATTTTAAGCATATTTCTGTAAAATTTCTGTCAGACATTCAGAGTTGGGCATGCGTTAAGAAGGTTATTACCTAATATCACTTATATCATAGTGCTGACTGATAATCATGGCATCGTGGGCTACATGTATAATACTATCCAGTCATCTTTGCTTTGCCCACAATGTCACTCATATCAACCAGCTCTAGAAACAAATGCCATCAGGTGATAACCTCATATATACTGTTCAGGTACAAGACTGATAAGATCAAGACTTTTACAACCAATGTTCAATTTAGAAAAATATAAGTATAATTATGTATTGAGAAAGAGTTGTGAAAGATATTTTTTTTTCACAAGATTTCAGTTTAAACAGTTTTATTTTAGGAAATCACAATCTCAATGGTAACCTGAGATAATTACTGATAGTTACTACTGTACCTAACCTATCAGGGTCAGAATCTACCCTGGCAATCAAATTTATTTTTAGATTTTCGGTCAAGAGCTGTAACCAATAGCCAATAGGAAATTATTTAGTAGTGTGTCCACCAGGTGGTTGTAAGTAAACTTTATTGACATTGTACCCTCTTTAGGGTATTAAATTGATTACAATAAAATAAATATGTAAATATGTTTTTAGAAAAAACATAAACAATTAAAAATAAATGATCAGATAAAGAAAAGTAAAATACAGTAATTACTAAAATAGCTAAATAATAGAAAAAAAAAATTAAAATAGTATCAGAATATATATGTATAATGTAAATATTATGAGGCAGCTGGTGTAGTAAGTTTCATGTTTTCTTCTCTTAAGTTAAAGCACCGATAAATGAATTTACCAAGTTTGATCCGTGTGTTTTCATTTTTGCTTTCTAGAATTTTTATTAAAAACAAATTTGATAAATGTTTGCGTTGCCAGTTTTTTTTGAAAAATTCATTTTTGATGTTTTTGTAGCATGGGCAGTGAAGAAGGAAATGTTCTTCATCCTCAATTAGTTGAGTGTTGCAATTTGGCATTTCCTTTCTGCTACGTTTATATTTTGATGCATTCCAGTCTCAATCTTAAGAGTGTGTGCACTAATTCTGAGTTTTGTCATGGCTGATCTGTGGTATGGATTTTTTACAACTAGATATTTTTCGAAGGAGGTGTCCTTTTCGAGTTGCCTATATGTGCAGAGTTTATTTTGATGATTAATTCCTTTGTTATCATCATGCAATAAATCAAATTATGTATTATCTATTTATAGAAAAACACATACAAAATGTTAACAAGTAACAAGTTTATAATGTAAAAGATTCTATGAAATAAAATACCTGATGTGCACAGAATGTGGCAGCTTCTGATGCAGCCAGTTTTGCCATGGCAGACTCCTAAAGTAAAAATATGTAGAGAATTGAGAACACGAGGAAAGAAACAAATTTTAGTGGTGAAAATTAAACCATACAATTGTTAAAACTGATGATTCTCAACTAAGTGACCAACCTTTGTGTATGGTTTGCCAGCATCCTTCAACATAGCAGCTTTCCATGTGAGTAGTCTTGCACTTTCCAGCCTCGTCTCCATATCTGCTAGCTTCATCTGTATGGCTTGTAACTTAGCAATTGGCCTTCCAAACGACTCTCTTTTCAATGCATACTCTACTGCACATTCCAAAGACGCCTGTGTGGGAAAATTTCATTTGATTTTTAAATGCATATTTTTCATTGTTACGTCTGTCCTGGTGGGAATAAACTTTTTTGCCAGAATGTTTTTTATATATTGTTTGCATGTTAATTGCATCGAATGATTCCAAGAGCTTTACAACTTCAAATGATTTCTAATTGGTCAATTGGTCTAGCATGGTGATAGGTAAAGTGAAAAATTAAAGTAAAGAAGTAATAACCTGTGCAATGCCCAATGCTTGTGAGGCAATACCAATCCTACCATCATCCAATGTCATCTGTCGGTAAAAGATAGATATATAAATACCATTAGATCTATAACATTATATAAGTTTTATAACATTTGTCACCTTTTCAATACATTTTCCCTCTTTTAACTACCAGGTCAGAGGTGAACAGTGGACCAGGGTACACTATCGCCCTAGCAACCATAGCGTGGGAAATTCTACATTGTGGAACGGCGAGTTGAACCTAAAAATTGAAGTGATAATATTGACTATCTCACCACCGGATTTGTTACTGTGAAACTTTTGTTTTTGATTTGAGACTGCCAGAACCACTGTTGGCTGAATATAGTTATTGACACAGACATCTATCACATCAACCTCCACAACTACTGAAGTTTTACCCCCATCTGTTATGATGCATACAATATTGTAATAGTTCCATATAACGACAAATGAGGAACTAATATGTGTTACTAAAAGACGATCAATGGCATTATGAAAATAACAATAGGTTGCAAAAAAGCTGCTGATAAATCCCTAAAAAATAACAAATTATGAAATGGCTGTGTGTTGATCATTCTTTTTCACTCACCATAGCAATTTTAAAACCAAATCCAGGCTCCCCAAGTAAGTGATCTTTTGGTATTTTAGCATCTTCATATATTAGGTATGTTGTGGAGGATGCCCGGATTCCAAGTTTGTCCTCTTTCTTCCCTAGTGAAAGCCCTTCCATGGGCTTGGGTGTGATGAATGCACTGATGCCCTGTAAACATATATGAAAAAAAAAAAGTTTATTCATCAAGAACTTAAAGGAACACATTAAACAAAAATTGATGTAATGCACAAGTTGAAATATGCAAGTCAAGCTAAAATTAGGAAATTAATTATCAAATTTTTGTGTTATTAGAACCCATCACCAACAGTAGCCTGACAAGATCGCGCGAGTTGCACTCTCCACGCTGCTTGAAACCCAACACACGACTGACAGAACAATGTAGTTTTTCACAATCAAGTTGCAGGAACGTCAAATAGTGACAGCCATCAAAGAGTAATCATTCATGGCAGAGTTTATTTGTTTGTTGACATAATGTGTGATGAGTTGCTGGGAAATTTCCATCTCGTTAAAAAAAAGTCTGATTTGACATGACTTTGATTGACGGTGTTACAATGACCACCAAAATGAATATTCATTGAAACTCATAGCAAGATGGCATGAACTTTGCAAATTTGCTGTATTGATCTTGCTGTTGAGACATACACTACTCGGACAGGCGTGGGGTCGAATTTCGTTCGACCGACGAGGGCACCACTCACACCTACAAGTCAGGCTAATCCAACAGAAGTGTACATACACTAAAAATGGAACAATTGTATGCTCAATAATTAAAATAAAACTTTTGTATGAGCTACAAACAAATGCAGAAATCTTGAGAATATCCTAACAACCGGTGCATAGTTCATGTCAATACATCCACATACTGCCTGAGCGAATATGTATTATCATTATTATATATCATATACATACAATAATTCAATAGGAGATACATGTAGGAGTCAACAATATGTCAACAAAAAACATTTTTCTCTGTATTAAAGAAAACTTTTGTTCAGGAACAACATTTAATTTCCATTCTGCATCCAATGTGAACAAAGGAAGGTGTACAAATTTTATGTAAATAAACTAGAACATGTTAATAGTTATTGACATAGTTTATCCCCAAATAAAGAACATTTCAAACAGGTGCAAATACGCTTTGAAGTTACTGTAATAAAATTATTTGGAATGCTGAATCATAATAATTGTTATTATATGTTTAATAGGGTATAACATATTATTATTAATCAAGATGGAGGAAATGGGGTTACTGTTAATTAAAAAATAGTCAAATAATAATACATTAAGTCCCATTTCTATATTACTAAATACTCTTGTTACTGGGCTAATTCCCAAAGTTCTAAATTTTGTTTTGCTATATAGTTAACTCCTATTACATGTATCAAAAGTACATATGCAACAGAGGCAAATGTTAGTAAACAAATTATGTTATTGTACACACTGACTCATGTACACATATACTACTTAGTGAGCAGGTCATTTACATATTAAATACTGTAGAATACTTTATTTTCGCTGGAATTAATTTTCACTGAAAAGGCTTTATGGGCGTTTTGCTTGGAATTTATTTTCACTGATTTTTCATGAGTTTAATGTGAAATACAGGAAAAAAAGTATATTCGCTGGATTTTATTTTCACGGAATCATCCCTTCAGCGAAAATAGCGAAAATAAATTCCAAGCGAAAATAAAGTATTCTACAGTAAATGCACTACTAATATAGGCATTACGGTATGTGGACTAATAGACACAGCACCACATTCCTACAACTAGACTGTGATTTACCTTGTGTTTGAGAGACTTGTCTGTGGTTGCAAACACAACAGCGGCTTCTGCTTCAAAGCCATTGGTTATCCAGGCTTTGGTTCCATTCAGCACCCACTGATCATTCTCCAGTCTGGCTGTCGTTGAGGCAGCACCAGCATCACTTCCATTACCTAGTGTTTTGGCATTTACATAACCATTAAATGAGTCATTAATGTAGTATGGATATTCTGGTATCTATGCAAGTATATCAGAATATCTATGGAAATAAGAGACGTATACTTTTATTGAAAAAGACCAAGCAATTAAGCAACATAGATGCTTTCAAATGAAAAAGCTCCACAAATGTGGGAGAACCAATTTCATTATCTAGATATCCAACTTTTCATCAGTAAAGGATTATGGGTAAATTATGACATGATAGCTACTTTTGTGAAAAATTGAGAGAACAATTTCCATCCCATAAACTGCATCAATGCTTTTAGAAGAGCTTTTTGTCACTCTCTAGCTATTCGCAAAAGGCAACCCCTACCCACTAATTGCACTATAATTTCAGATAAACAAAATTACTATAACAATAATTATGGCCAATAAACCCATTGCATTGTCATGCAAATGTATTTCCATTATTTATAATAGGCATCTAGGGAAATCTCTCTTGGGGTTGGGGTGGGGGTGGGTCGGTTGGATGGTGAGTGGTTTAAAGTCAAATCTGGGGATTGTTGTGTCATTTACCTGGTTCACTAAGTCCAAAGCATCCAACTCTATCTCCATTTACAAATGGTGTTACATATTTTTCTTTTTGAGCCTCTGTACCATAATATAACAATGGACCAAGATAAAGACTCTATAATAGGGAAACAAATATTTCTTCACATCACACACAATGCATCATATTATAGACACAGATGCCTTACAACAGCTGAGAATTCTTCTCACTTAAAGCTACGCTTGAACTTTCAAGAGAACATTTTAGGTTATTGATATGTTAATAAATTCTACTGTATCTAAATGTAATTTAGTGTGAAAAGCTAGAATACCGACAGTGTGTAAAAGACACGTTGCATGTATTTCCTGCCATCATTTTTTCTCTCAGTATTTTCACATGTCAAACCCAGATCAGATCATCTATGGCACCATGCAAATAACTCACATTATTTACACTCATAATAACACCACATGAAGCACAGCCTCGACTAATCTCCTCTATGGCTATTGCATAAGCTAAGTAATCTAATCCAGTACCGCCATATTTTTCTGGGACATCTATCGCCATCAGGCCAAGTTCACCCATCTTTTTAATCTGAAGAAAGACAAAATGTTACAGAATAAAGCTGCATAAGTTGCGTTAATTGGCAGTGGAATATGACATTTAGCAGGCGAGAATAACAAGAAATCATTTATGACAATGATAATCACTTTTAAATTTTAGATTTAAAGATTTTATGAAAAGGTAAAACCAGCTAAAAGAAGCTTGGGAGTTAAGTTTTACTCAGATTTTAGAATATTTAGAAGAGAAAAATGTTTTCATCATTATTTTTTTATTTTTGCAATATGGTTACACTCACAACAATTCTCGTCTTTGTAAAGATCCCAATGAAGTACACCGCTACAATATTTTGGGGTTTTTCTGACTCACAAAAATAAGTCTTTTGTGAAAATATAGCATGAGAATGTCTGTCATCACCAAAGGACAAGAACAACCCCAGACAAAATGCACATATTTTTTTTTTTATGAACCTTTTTTTGTTAAAATATATATTGGGCCATATAATGTGCAGTTTACCTGTTCTACTGGATACCTGTGTTCTTTGTCCATTATAGCAGCTACTGGTTTAAGCTCATTGTCAGCAAAATCTCTGCAAGTCTTCCGAAGCATTTCATGTGTTTCCGGCAGACTGGCCATGGAATGTACACTGCGATGTGTGTGACATCCTAGAAATTGTAATATAAGAATGATACTTAAAACGATACTACTTGAGATCTACATATATTGTACTAAATCAGTGCACCACATGTTACTACATGTACCATGAAATTCATGCCTTCACTTTTATGTAGATGCAATACTTGATTTATTAAAAGCATGTAAATCAACAGTTGCATTTATTGTACTAAATATTGAAATGACTTTTTACAACTATAGGCGCATACATTGCATTTCGGTATGCACCTGTGCTATTAATAGAGAGACTTCTATACATACACATGGTTTAGATCTGAAACACCTGGGTTCTTATGCAAGTGAAACATATATTATTTTTAGAAACTTAATTTTTTGAACATTACTGGGCCTGCATGGTGGTCGCGCAGTGTTTGATCAAATGCCTTGCTTGTTTACATATAATTCAAACATGTACTGCATGGCAACCATCGCCTTTCAAATTTATTCTGATTATTTTTTTAGTTTTCAATGCTAAGTAAAATTGCATGTGTGATCCGCTCTCTAAAGAATGCACTACCTAACAAGCTTTTGTAGAATGTCATCAGGATGAATCAAATAAATATTTTCCTTGTAAGGAACAAAAATCCTCTCACTACTATTTATAGTGGCATGTACTAGTAACATCCACCAACAGAACTAAACACTTAAAAGCCCAGGTATACTATAAATAGGCTCCTAAACAATAGGGATTATTTCCTTGCTCGTCACGCTGTAGTAAACAGCTCCAGTCAATCTCTGAGTTTCTCAAACTTACAAGTCGATTATGTCATGCCAAAGTAGATGCATGTGACTATGAATATCACAGCAGTGACTGTGTATAGTATTTATGAAAATAAATAGTGTACGAGCTGAGATTTTGGGGGATAAAAGTAAAAAACACGAACCGGGAAAAGGGACGCACTACTAATCTTGAATAATTAACTACTGTCAATCAAAGTCATGTGATGTTGAACCGCTGAAACAGGATGCGTCTCAGGCTATGCAGGTGATTAACAACACTCGTTAGCATAGCCACACCTCCAATTCACACTTGCCCAGGGCAAGTGAATTGGGCCTTTAAATAAGAAATAGAAACACTGGGTCAACAGTTATTATTATTTTGGGAAGTAATCAAAATATTGATTTTATGCAAATGCTTAGAAAGAATCATTCATATGCAAATTAGCTATGATCACCAATGTTGTATTTTCTATTTTCATTTATTTATTTATATGTTGCAAATGACTTGCACTTAGTTGTATTAGGGAGAAGAACTCTGAACACCAACTTAGATCATTTTTTTTTTACTTTTAGTAACCCAGCTTAAATTTAATTTTTTATATTTGTAGTTACCGGTGAATAATGATTATGTTCTCATGAAAACCGAGGAAATTTAAAAAAAAAGATAAAATAATCCTAATTGTTTTTTTTTTTAGCCTCAGTTTACTGAAAGTGAAAACAATCTATTGGGATACATATATTGCTTTTGTTGTGTGAATTGCGAATTCACTGTCAATTATATTACAAATAAAAAAAAATACAAACATAAAACAAAATGTTGACCTATAACATACGGCTGTGGTTTCGCGTTGTTTTTGAACAACGCATGACTTATCTCTGTGTACATGTTTGTTGTTCCGGCCACTGGTCCAGGAACGCCGCGGAAGAACGCATATGTACGTACGTGCCCTGTGACTCCTTGTCAGGTACATGTAAACACACTATTGGAATAAATCAATCGACTGTCATACATTGTAGTAAAGAACAAACAATTGTCAACTCGAGTACCAGTATGAATATTGTCACTAACCCATAATTCGCTGAGAAACAGCATAATAATGTCTCGCGTTACACAAACCACCTCGCAGAGCAGCCATTTTGCTTTTAGTTCATGACCTAGTTTAGACTTGTTCCAAAACAATTTATTGACAATTCACGTATTCAATGTTTTATAAAATTTTAATTGATATTTATAATACATAATATAAATTCATAAAAATAACACACTCGTAAGTTGACATAACAAAGTAATCAGCTTACAATAAAATACTTTCGCATTTGTTGTTATGCAACATGAAGTAGACGAGGCTGAAGATATATGTCAAATTAGGGTCAGGAGCCCGTCAGGAGGTCAGTGGCGGAGCATGTGTTAGAGGTTGTTTTCTGTGGTTAAACTAGTAGTGCAGAACCAGTATCATTTGTATGGACTAAACATATAGAATAAAGCTGGTGTGTTGAACTACAACAAAGTGTTAACCAAAACAGAATTTAAATGAAAATAGAGGGCGCTCATTGTTCGACTTGTATCGCGTATAATTTAGAATCGTCTGCTACAGATAAGGACATGACGTCGCCCACTGACTGTTGATAATGTATGGTGTGGATAAATTGTTAATGCTGCTGTCCTCGGGGATATATAACTTGCTAGAAGGTATGTGTGCTCCACATGTGTAACGCCTTCGGAGGCCACTTGGGTAAAACTTGATTACCTAACCTTGACACTGTTTTTCCTTCTTTTTCCCTCTTTCTTTCTTTTTTCTTTCTTTTTTCGAACCAATTAAAGGTTAATGGATTTGGTAAAAAAAGCAGTAATTATATTGACCGATATACCAGAGACAATACAATGTTGTACATTCCTACATATTACGATGGAAATCGCCCGAGTCCGATGTTTGGTTTTCTATAAACAATCTTAAAGACCGTTGTTTTTTTTAGTTCCCGGGGAGCAGACAGTTTTGTTTACTATTCGCAATTTGGAATAGCCGGGTCATAAGAGATTGGTACATAAGCTAGACGCACCTCAGCACGAGCGAATTAGCGAAACTGAAAAAAAATGGGGTATTATATATGTAGGTAAAATACATTTATTTTGGCATGTTGTATTAACCTTTTAAACGTATTTATTGATATTTCAGATATTACTACAGAAACCAGTTTGTGAGGTTTAATTGTTTTTCAGGTTGCATATAGTTTAACCTTTAGGTGTTTCATTTCATTCGTTATACTATGTATAATAGAAACATGCTGGTTCTAGACTAAACTAAATATAGTATATAATATACTAATGCTCATACACATTTAAATAGTTTACTCACCCTACAATTCAAAATAATATATCAGTAAATATATTTTTATTTGAAAGAAAAAAAAAGGCAATGTGCTTGCAATTAGTGGGTCAATATCTTGTTAATGCATTAATGCACAGATCAACTTTCTTGTTGTTTCATATAAAAAAAATCACTTTACTGCATTTTTTTTCAAGAACCCTTGGACCAAAAAAACAGCTGTTTGACATTTTAGCGAAATTGACTCAATCTGTGAATTAACAGAATGTTTAATAAGTATAAAGTGGCAACAATCTCATTGTGAGAATATTATTTCTGTTAAATTAGCGACTTCTTAAATTAGTGAATTTACAGATTAGCTAAAATAGCATGCTAGCTAAAAAGACGTGTTTTACAGTAGTTGTATATAAAATGGCCATGACTAAGATATGCAAAAACTCATTGGTAATACGTTACAAATGGTCTTAACTAGAGCCATTGAAACTTTCTTATATGGATTTAAAGCTACTAGTGCAAGGGTTTTCCAGGTGAATGTTTTATAAAATGAACATTCATGCCTTTTCTGAACTCATTATGATTACTTCATTTATTATGAGGTTATTATGCACAAAGGCAGTACAGCAAGAGTATAGATCCGACCACGTACTGTGTGAGTGCATACTATGTAGTATCCTCGTAATAACCTTATTATTATACATCTTTCCCTCCCAGGAATACATCATGGAAATGTCTAAGTCCAAAATGTTTAGATCAAATTTAGTGAACTTTGTGTGGGGTTCAGTCAAACCCTAGGGGCAGCCATGTTTGTTTTTATTATTAGAGGGCGCTTACAGACATAATCGTTCCATATTTGTAATTTGTGTTTCCTAATATGTTAGGATGAAAATACCCAGTGCAATACCACAAAATTACGGCTCTGATTTCCACTGCAATGAAACCAAATATAAAAACATAAAAAACTCAGATATTTCTATAATTAGGTAATTATTTTTACAGACTATATTAAAATAAAACATTAAATGATTCACACCTTTTTTTGGACACAGAGCAAAAAAAAATTATTTGCAAGGCAGTTGGAGTACACATGATATATAAACAAATGAGGGAGATGATAATGCTAATATTTACTATATGGGGGATGGTTATCTTGAAAGCCAATTGGGAACTAAAAAAAATTATAAAAACGCAAAATTCATATTGCTACAAAACAGTGTAAAAATCCCCAACTTAAAGCGAGAGGGTCGTCAACTGTGCATGCAGTAATTGAGTCCCAAGCGACGATAAAAGCACACACTAAAAACACAAAGGCTCATGGGTAGACGCTTTTTTGTAAACAATGACACGCTATGGCCAACTGACGCATGCGCAGGTGACGACTTGGTTAAACAATAATAACAGTTTCCTGTATGTCAGAAATATGTTCTAATGAGCACTCATTCTGCATATTTGTAGGTGTATTTTCCCATTTATTTATTATTCTGATTAAATTTGCTATATTTTTCTTATGTTTAACTTAGAACATAAATTTTATGCCATCGGGATATGCACTTAGCAGCAGACAAGGAATAAATATATACCAGTACCTTAAATGCATTAATTATTCGTTGGTTTTTTAATTTTGCTATTTCACTGAAAAATCCATTAAAAATTAAATCCATGTGAGCATATAAGATAACAATAAATTCATTGTTTTCACCTAAAGTTCTTGAACTTAAATCCCAGTGAAATTGCTCAAAACATTAAAGTAGCAAAATTACATGTCAGTAAAAATAAATTGTTTTACAGTAGGCTCCTTTTAAGGTTGTGTGCTAAGGTCCAAAATGTTATGATCCAACATAAGATAAACACTGGTTCTTACCTTCATGGAATGTGTATATTTATACCTATACATGTAACTAGATCAGATTGTCTAATATATAGGGTAATCATTATCAGCCACTTCACAAACATGTGCACTATATCAACAATTGTGGACATTGACGTGTCATCCCTATCAGTGTGTGGACACGTATTCAATCCACACAGGTGATTTTTGCTGACTGGCAAGCTTTGAATTAATTTACAGTGATTTCTTGAATGTAAAGCAGTTACCGGTAGCCATCATGAGTGGTAGAGTTGGTGACTTGAGCCCTAAGCAGGAGCAAAAGCTGAAGGAGGTAAATGTATTTTTATATTTATATTTTTCTATGATTGTTCATCTCATTTTATAAAGTTCAAGCAGAATTCCAATTTTGCACTACTGAGCATGTTACTGAGCACATATGCAGTGCCTTATGGGAGAAAATTTAACATTGAATATAATTAAAAAATATTATCACAGTGGAAACTCACAAAGCTATATGTAAATTTTTGAACAATTTTCAAACAATATTAAGATTCATATCATTAACCATATGACTTTGCAGCCAATATAAAAAAAAATGCTTTCACTGCACATACTGGTACATACATTTTGTATAACAAAATGCAAATAAAATGCAAAATTTTTTTGGTTTTTGGCTGGTGGACCCTTCCACATCCATCCACTGAAAAACCCATAATAGCTTTCGACGTTGCTGACGACATCATTGGTGGTAGGATTTCTATAATATTAGTAACATCTGAATATACCTCAGTATCACAACCTATAGTCTTATAGGATTAGTTAATTGTATTATTACACTAAATTAAATGACACTAATCGAGAAGTTTTTTTGTTTTTTTTAATTTGCTGCATGAATTCTCTTATGACTTTTAGGAAAATTCAACCCAATAAAAATAGAGTGACCCCCCTCGCTAAGTCGAAACCTCAGTAAGTCACGGTTTTGGCTAAGTTCAGGTAGTTGGATGGCTCCTAAAAATTCTATTGTGTTTTGTCGACTGTTTAGAAATAAAAGTACTAAATGTTTCGTCACATCATGTAATTAATTGGTTGTTAAACACCTGCTGGCCATTAATTACTGAGATGAGTGATGGTGGCCTGACTTAAGGTGTTGATTGGGGTAGGAAGTCATGACTTAATGTACATTTTGGTCGTTCTCCTTTGATAAAGCTCTATAATTCTTGCTGCAATGAGTAGAATCCATGTGAACATGGACGCTGGGATGTTTTTCAAAAAAGAAAACCTACAAGAAATATATCCATGTGTGTTATAGACCTTAAAAATACATTTACTACCGGTAATATGTACTTTTAAGGTTTATGTATGTGTATATGTGCCCCCCCTTCAGGAGAACCTTTGGTAAGTCACGACCCTTGATAAATCATGGTTTTTGCTTGGATCCCTACACCCGCGATTCAGCAAGGGACCACTGTATTACAATTATGAATACAAAAATGTTTAATTTCAACAGATATGATATGAATTTGTTTTGTTCCATACTTTCGGTGCACTTCCTTAGAAATAAGTATAATGGTCAAATGCTTTTAGTCTGAAACTGATATATTTATACAGCAGGCATGAAAGCCCATGGTTTATTTCTGAAAATTACTTCAATTGCTTTCTATATCACATAAAATTTCCTCATTTAGATATAGTGATTTTATTATTCTTGATTATTATTTCATTATCTTGATATTATTTCTTTATTTTCTTAGTTCAAAGAAAGAGTCAAGGATATTTTGGTGAAACCTGAACACAATGATTACTATTGTCTTAGATGGTTAAGAGGTATGTATGAAATTTTCAATTTTAAAGTCAGTGTATTCATTTTATATTCAAAAACACGGTAGATAGCAAGTATATTCAATAATATAGCATATCTCACACTAGCTTTGAGAGGCTTTGCATTACAATATATCAAATTTCAGATACCTGGGACAGTAGGTGCATGGAAATGACCATTATTGCAAAAAACAGAAATGAGCGAGATTTTTGCCATTTTAAAAAATACAAAGCACGTGTATGACACGCTTTGTGAATAAGCAAGAATATTACCAATAATTATCTGAGAAAAAAAACAGTTTCACAGACTTACTAATTTGCATTAGAATTTCTAGAAATATAGATATCGCTTGATAATTTTATGATCATCTTGCAATTCATGTGACGTCAATTATTGCGAGATTTTCATTGCATATCACATTTTTGCGTACCAGCATCTTTGTACACCAAAGTAAACATTTGTCACACTTTTCCATATACCGTACTCGACCGCGTTAGCGCCCAGGGGCCTCAACTCAGAAAATCACGATTTTGTAGGGGTGGGCGCTTACCCGAGCACTCCCCTCGAAAAAGAGTGCAAACGAAAATTTTGATTCATCAAGTGACAGATTATGTCTTTGAGGGAAAATCAAATTACTAAATTAGTTGCGTCGTCATTGATTTTCACAAGGTATGTTCAAAAAAATTAATCTAGACCAGTAGCCAACTGGAAATTATGTTCATTTAAGTCAAAAATTATGGAAGAAATTAAAAAAAAAATACATATTAATAAATAAATATATGTGCAGAATCAAGTACCAAAGTGTTGATGGGACAAATTGTGTCATTCAAAGAGTTTAAAATACGTTCAAGTTCTGAAAATACTGCATAATCAAAGATTATTTAAAAAACATGGCTTTATAGATATTATGTTTTTTCCATTGTTGGTGTACTTTGCTCTTTCATTGACACATGAGAAAAAAAAGATAAGAATGATAAACCAAAAAATGCAAAATCTAACTCACATCCTATGCCTCTGACACTTGACACATTGCCCTCTGACTCCCATTTTTTCACTTTAATTTTGGTATTTGTTTGTAACAGGCAACAGGCAATGTGTTAATGGCATTGATAAATAAATACTATGGAATACTTTTTCACTGAAAAAGCTTTTTGGGCGTTTTGTATGGAACTTATTTTCACTGATTTTTCATGAGTTTAATGTGAAATATAGGAAAAAAAGTATATTCGCCGGATTTTATTTTCACTAGACTAGAAAAACTCCAAATTTGAAGGGTTATTTTCACTTTAAATTATTCTTCTTAACCTACATGTAGTTGCTTGTTCGCCTATTATTGTCACAGTGAAATATGAAACTAGAAAAATAACACAAAAGATTTTCCTAGTGACTTAATGAAAATTGCTTTATTTTAACTGTAATTAATTTTCACTGAAAAGACATTTTGGGAGTTTTGTATGGAATTTATTTTTGATCGAATTTTGATGAGTTGAATGTAAAATATATACTGTCTGGATATTATTTTCACTGAATCATTCCTTTAGCAAGTATATTTCAGTAGTTGTTTAAATTAGAAAACTTATTGTATTGAATTATGCTTATAATTTAATTTATATTTTATTTCAACAGCAAGAAGTTTTGATGTTAACAAAGCTGAAACAATGATCAGAAATGTAAGTACAAATACTGCATCATGAAGTCAGCTGCATAACAACTGTAGAGGTAGAGAGTCTGTTCATTTTAAATCTACAGCTCTGATATACAGCCGCTGGTATACACAACTATATCTGACCACTTCTCCTCTAAGGGTATGTGTCAACCAGTTAAAGCACACCTTCAATCCATCAAAAATGTTTAATTATAATATTGATATGGCCAATAGTATCTATGTAATTAGTACATAGGCTAGGTCATTCAGAAACTCTAAAAAAAAATGGTCTACAAATTAAATTCTGATTGGTCACTGGTCCTGTAAGTTTTGAATGCAATATGGCTAGCTAATTACTTATACATGTACTCAGATATAGGATTGGTGACCATATACAGGTTACAATATATTTAAAGAGATGATGGCCAGTGTCTACATCAGATTTAATCAGCTTGCATGCATATATGTTTTGTCTTTTGAAAATGGATGCAATGATAGAAATACGAGCTGAATAAGAGCTGTCTCATGTATATGTAAATAATCACTATCTTTTGAATCCTACTGTTGAACAAAATGTAAGATCATCAGGTCAGTTAAATAGTCAGACTGTGATAGATAACTGTCAATGATAATATACCGGTAGTTACGGTACAATGGTCACAGTCATGCTGTATTCACATTGATGTCATGTCTGTCTATAAGTTAATAAGTAACCAAATTTTCATGATTTTTTTTATTTGGAAAATCATTAAATTTTGTAGCAGTGAACATTGCACTAGGACTTAGGGATTTACAGTGAGGATAGAGGATGGAGGGGGCATTACACTGAGTTCTAGGGAGCCTAAGTGAGCATTTTACTGTGTTCTGAGGTCACCGCAAACATTTGACTGAATTCTAAGGAGACACAGTGAAATATTTCACTGGGTCCTAGAATGTCACAGTGAGCATTTTACTGTGTCCTGGGTGACAGTGAACATTTCACCTGATCCTAGGGAGTCACAGTGAACGTTTCACTGGATTCTAAGGAGACACAGTGACATATTTCACTGGGTCCTCGCGTGTCATAGTGAGCATTTTACTGTGTCCTGGGTGACAGTACACATTTCACCTGGTCCTAGGGAGTCACAGTGAACATTTCACTGGATTCTAAGGAGATGCAGTGAGCATTTCACTGGGTCCTAGGGAGTCACAGTGAACATTTCACTTTCACTGGATTCTAAGGAGATGCAGTGAGCATTTCACTCGGTCCTAGGGAGTCACAGTGAACGTTTCACTGGATTCTAAGAAGACACAGTGAAATATTTCACTGGGTCCTAGGGTGTCATAGTGAGCATTTTACTGTATCCTGGGTGACAGTGAACATTTCACCTGGTCCTAGGGAGTCACAGTGAACATTTCACTTGATTCTAAGGAGATTCAGTGACATATTTCACTGGGTCCTAGGGAGTCACAGTGAACATTTTGCTGGATTCTAAGGAGATGCAGTGAGCATTTCACTCAGTCCTAGGGAGTCACAGTGAACGTTTCACTGGATTCTAAGGAGACACAGTGAAATATTTCACTGGGTCCTAGGGTGTCACAGTGAGCATTTTACTGTGTCCTGGGTAACAGTGAACATTTCACCTGGTCCTAGGGAGTCACAGTGAACATTTCACTGGATTCTAAGGAGATGCAGTGAGCATTTCACTGGGTCCTAGGGAGTCACAGCAAACATTTCACTTGATTCTATGGAGACACAGTGACATATTTCACTGGGTCCTAGGGTGTCACAGTGAGCATTTCCTGTGTCCTGGGTAACAGTGAACATTTCACTCGGTCCTAGGGAGTCACAGCAAACATTTCACTTGATTCTAAAGAGACACAGTGACATATTTCACTGGGTCCTAGGGTGTCACAGTGAGCATTTTACTGTGTCCTGGGTAACAGTGAACAATTCACCGGGTCCTAGGAAGTCACAGTGAACATTTCACTGGATTCTAAGGAGATGCAGTGATCAGTTCACCAGGTCTTAGGGAGTCTTAGTGAACATTTAAATGGATATCATTTATTTAGGTAAACAACTGACTTTTTGAATGAAGCTCAATGTTGATGTATAGGGTTGTCAATGCATACATCTAGATATTATACCCACATTTGTAAATGTTGATGAATTATTCTGGATATCTCAGTGTTTCAAAACTCACATTTACTTGCCAAGCACTGGTGCACATTATATTTAGAGGATTATTTCAAACTGCACCAAAACTAATTTCAAGAGTTTTATAATTTTTTCTCTACAAAATTAACGCATGTACGGTACTTGCATGTATAAATGAGTAGTAAATTCAGTTTAGTATAGTATAGTAATGAATTACCTTGGACACTGTTTTTAGTGGTTATGACACAACTATTTATTTACTCGGATGAAACAATGTTGGACTTGGTTTCTTACTGAGACAAAACACCATGTGACATTGAAACTAGCAGCTCACTCAGGGAGGTTGTGTTAGATGCTCTAAGTTAACTGTTCACTTGACTGGAGCTATGATCTAATAACTGCAATAATTATAATTTTCGGTCAGACCACTACCAAACAGGGAATATAAGGTTTAGATGAGAATAATTAAACTATTGATAGTCTCAGTGCTGTTACTGTTCTGATTGGGTACATTGAAAAGAACAAACAATTCATGTTCTGCAAACGATACGATTCCTCTAGAATTTGTCATAATTTCACTTTCCTGTGTCTATATGGTTAAACCACAGTCCCACAGTGGAAGAACTGTGGTTAAACAAATGTTGTTCTGATTTCAGAGTATGGAAACTAGAAAGAAGATGGGCTTAGACACACTAGTCACTGACTACAAATCACCTGAGGTAGGAAAACACAAATAAAACATACAATAGTAATATATATATATATATATAAATATATTATGTAAAACAAGACTGCCAAATTATTATGCAATATTCTTTCGCCTTTCTGATTGTTGCATACATTTAATAACAGGTTATGGAAAAGTACTACCAGGGTGGTCTAGTAGGAGAAGATAAGAATGGACATCCGATATGGATTGATCCCATTGGCAATATTGATCCTAAAGGTATGAGATGTTATGCTCTTGAAAGCCTTGCCTTCAATTTCCAATCAGACCGCCTGGTCATGTTGTTGAGGCCGGATGGTCTATTTTATCTCATATTATCAAAATGTGTCATAGAAATGTGTCATGTGTCAGTAAAATGTAATAACTGTCCTGTGGCAGCTAGTAATAATTGCATTAGTACAACACTGTCAATATTATTGATGTTGAGTCATTGAGTTAGCACAACAAC